GAAAAATACGAAAAGGCAGCGACAATCATTAGAAAGTGTGCTGAAGTGAATAAAGTTACTGTTCCTAGCAGCGTGTATGAAGAGTTGTCCGCATATAATGGAGATTTAAAGGTACATTTACATCTATGTTATCGACTGGGCCAATGTATTTTAGATTTGCATGTGCATTGAAGGCAGCAAGAACATTGCTCTAAGTCGTTTGTATATGTCATTCAAACAGTAAACATATTATTAATATACGCTTTCTCCAGTCACCTATTTATTTCGTTTCGTTTATTTCTATTCGCGATTGTCACTAAGGATAAATTTTAACATTTTGTGTGCAGATTAACATGTACATAAACTGTAGTTAGCATACACACATGATTCATTGTATTTATACCTTTTACAGAACAGAGATGCTGGGAGTTTCCTTGACCTTATTCGACTGTCGAACATGAGAAAGAAATCTTTGAATCTCTTCTACAACTGGTAAGAAAAACACAACAAAAACAACTGGTTTTGTCAGTAAAGGCAACCAGTGTAATCATTAAAAGTGTTCATGTCTTGTCATTGAAACAGGTTTACTATCAGCTTAGTGTACTATGGGCTTTCACTTAATACATCCAACTATGGAGGCAATGACTACTTGAATGCTTTCTTGTCGGGAGCAGTGGAAATACCAGCTTATACACTAGCAATCTTTCTTCCTGAAACCCGCTTTGGACGTCGATGGTCTCAGTCATCAACATTGATATTAGCGGGAGTCGCATGTATACTTACGTTATTCGCACCAGTTTGTAAGTATAAATATATATATTAAATATATTTGTGTCCCAAGTTCATATCGATTCCGTTAAATATGCTATCAAAACGCATATTCGGCGTATAACCAAAACTGTGGTACGTCTTGTATATATCCGTGAAATCACAATTCTTGCGTCTTTTCGTACGAAATATACATAATAAACTGCTTTTTGTTTTTAGGTGAAATGCAATGGATTGGTATCACATTGGCGATGATTGGTAAATTTTCTGTTTCTGCCGCATTTGCCATTGTCTATATATTCTCTGCTGAAATCTACCCAACTCCTGTAAGGTAAGATGCAGTTAGTAATTGTAGTTATACGCAATCAACGCAGCATTTAGAATGTCTACTGGAAATATCAACAACATGTGATTGGAAGTAAAACTGCCTAATGAGCTGCTTAAAAACGTGACATCAGCCAATAGTTGAGAGCAAGGCCATGTTTCGACTGACACGTAGAAAGTTGGCTCTACACATTTTACTATTTTTCTACTTGATATTAAAATTGTTGGCATACATGTGCTCTATGGGGGGACTGTGAATGCCATATAGATCTATTCGCCATGTGAATGGAAGATTTAACATTTTCATGAGCTGTGTTTTTGGTGAGAAACATTTTCTGGTTTGTGTGTGAACAATAATGCTAATTAAGGCACCACACAAGCTAAGAGTGTGCTGTTATTTAACTTTATTGACTCTATTGTTATTCGAGGCTTACTCCAAAGTAAGTATACCTAATCTGAATAACAATGCACTCACTGGAAGAAGTCATTAATACAACCACTGGGCGAAGCATGGTGCACTAGTCTGTTACTATAGCAACCACGATGCTACTTTTCGTGTCAGGACCTACTAGAAAGCGGAACACTTCGGAATCTAGCGTGGAATGCGATCGTGCAGACTTATTTGACAAGATTAGATCTGATAACCCCAAGGATTTCATTGCAGCCTTTTTGAACATAAATAGTTTTCGTCACAAGGTTATACATATCGGGGAAGCTCTCAAACGTTCCCCTGTAGACATTTTTAGAATCGCCGAGACCAAACTAGAAGACACTTTTCCTGATGCATAATTTGGAATACCGGGATATAGGCTATTACGGCGAGATCGAAATGATGGAGACGGTGGAGTATTAGTTTACATTAGATCAGATATTCCTAGTAGGCGCCTTGAACAGTATGAAAGTAAGCCCGCGATTGAAACCATTGCAATTGAAGAGCACCAAAATATAAGCAGTAAGTGTTTATTTGTTATGGCGTATAGACCCCCTAAGATACCAAATAACATTTTCAACGAATATATGTCAGATTTGCTGGATCTAGCGCATCAACATTTCAACAATGTATGTCTGATGGGCGATTTAACATGTTAAATTTGACATTTGACATATTAGTGCGGTCCAAAGGAGTAAGTACCATTATCGGACCTATGTGAATAATATGATCTTACGCAACTAATTAAGAAGCCCACGAATTATACAATTCATGGACCTTCGCTTATTGATGTAATCTTAATAAACAATCTATCACAATATGCCAAATCGGGTGTTATAAATAATGGAGTGAGCGACTCCCATCATGTGATTTTCGTGATAATGAACTTTCCTTCGCCAAGATTGCCAGCTAAAAATATAACTTGTCACAATTACAAGAATTTTGACATTGATGAATATGCTAAGGATGTCAATTATATTCCTTTGTCCTCGGACAATTTTTGAGCTCTACAATGTATGTTACAGGACGTGATTGAAGATCGTGCTCTTTCAAAGAAGTTGAAGTTAAGGGCTAAAGATGCCCCATTTATGAATAAGACCCTGAGGAGGGCGGTGAGAGTTATATACTCAAATGATGACAACTGGGAAGCGTACCGCCGCTAAAGAAATCTTACAACTTTAATACGTTAAGGACTATTTTAAAAATAAATGTAATGGGGAACCCAAAAATAGTGACTTTTGGAAAACCATCAAACCCTTTTTGACAGACAAGGGTAATACAGATAGTGGTTCTATAATGATTAAAACAAACAACCAAATTGAAACATATCCTTGCGATGTTTTAATGAATGACTTTTATGTTAATATTGCGTCACAGATAGGTGGCCACATTGATCAACAGTACAATGAACATGATACTTCAAACATTAAATGTGTGAACATTTTAAAGATCACCCGAGTATCATTAATATAAAACGAAATTTGAACTCGCGTAACTTTTATTTTTGTCACACAACACCTGAGAGTGTGGAAGAAATAATAAATCATATGAATAGAAGGAAAGTCAACGGGTATGACAGTTCCAAAAGACAACAGACTTGTTATAAAAAAAAAGTACAGACCAGTCAGTATTTTGCCATCTCTATCTAAGGTTATGGAAACTATTATTCATAAAGAGATGTCAGTTTTCCTGGATCATATCTGGGATTCAACAATTGCAGCCTATAGTAGGGATATAGCTGTCAAAATGTCATCTTACTTCTTGTGAATAACTGGAAGTTTGCTTTAGAAAACAAGCAACAAGTAGGGGCCATTCTTATGTCAAATGGTTCAAAGATAACATGATGGAAGCTAATATAAGTAAATTTCAAGCAATTATATCAAATGACCAATCTGACAATACATTTTTAGTATTGGGGATGTTGCTATTGAAACAGAAACTATTGTTAAATTGCTCGGGATCGATGTTGATCTTAATCATGTTAGTGTTATGTGTAAACGAGCAGGTGCCCAATTGAATGTTTTGCAAAGAATGTCGGGTTATTTAGATCAAGCCTCAAGACTATGTATATTTATACCTTATCTATTGCTCTTTAGTTTGGAATTGTTGTGGTAAAGTAAACATTTTTAAGAGTGGGCGTAATCAATACAGAGCTCTGAAATGTGTGTACAATTATTTTCAGTCCAGCTATCAAACATTATTGGAGCATGCTGGACTACAAATACTAGAGATGTCCAGGAATCGTGACATACTTGTTGAAGTTAATAAAAGTGTGAACAAACTCTCCACATCTTTCATGTGAGATTTAAACAAGAAGAAAAATGTAACGTGCAATTTAAGAAATTCTCATCAATTACAGTTAAAGCGACGAAGTGCTAAGATGTGGAACTCGCTTCGTAATCGAATGAAGGAGTGCAATGATTTGTATTTTTTTAAGCAAATGATGTCATTGTGGTCACCATCATTATAGGGTTACTTTAATTACTTAAACAAATAACTATTTGTGAAGTCTTACTGTTGTTTTTCTCTGTGTTTGATGTTTGTAACTTTTGCTTTTGTTTGATGTAATTTTTAGCAGTCAGTGATATTAGCCTTTGGCTAGGTATTTCAAACTGACTTTAAATAAACGAATTGAATTGAATTGAATAGAATACAATATAATGTTGCCTAAATAAGTACAATTACTATTTTAAAATTATCTTGGTGATATTTACAATTGTTTTTGATATATTGAAATGTTTTTAACATGGCGATCTTATGTCACTTACAGTATAACCCAGAATCACAAGGGGAGATACATTTAGTTCGCAGTGAAAAATAATTCCATTTGATTTCCAGAAAAGGTAGTCAAATTGCATTTATAACATAAAAATATTACATATTAAAAAAGGCTGTTCTTATATGTGTGTTGACATATTAGTCACAGGAATCAAGTGTAGTTTAAAGTGTACTTTTTGATTATAATTACTTATAAATCCGGATTTCCCCCTTTAGTAAATATCAAAACTCATGGCGGGTTTTTGATGCAATTATAGTTCAGTGATTTAAATCAAAATATATGACTGGAGATAATTTCTCCACAGATGTTCTGCCTGATTTTGAGAGATATTTTACAGAACTTAATTTTTCGATTT